TGCTATAAATTATACATCGGGGTGGAGTAAATACCTAGTAGTGCAATTGCTGGGTCATAGGGTAGTTCTATTTTTTCTTTAATTTTTTTAAGGTTTATCTATTTTTGAGAGCGAGACAGAGACCGAGCATGAGCAGGGGAGGGGCAGAGAGAGATGGAGACACAGAATCTGAAACAGGCTCCAGGCTCTGAGCTGTTATCACAGAGCCTGACATGGGGCTCAAATTCACAAGCTGTGAAATCGTGACTCGAGCTGAAGTCGGACGCTTAAGTGACTGAGCCATCTAGTCACCCCAGTTCTATTTTTTCATGTTTATTTATTTTTGAGAAAGTGAGAGAGAGCGAGAAAGCACAAGCGGGGGAAGTGCAGAGAGAGAGGGAGTCAGAGGATCTGAAGCAGGCTCTTTGCTGACAACAGAGGGCCCAATGCGGGGCTCAAACTCAAGAACCATGAGATCACAGCCTGAGCCGAAGTCAGACGCTTGAACAACTGAGCCACCTGGGCACCCCAATAGTTCTATTTTTAACTTTTGAGGAACCTTTATACTGTTTTCCAGAGTGGCTGCACCAGTTTGCAGTCCCACCGGCCATGTAAGAGGGTTCCCCTTTCTCCGCATCCTCTCCAACACCCGTTATTTCCTGTGTTGTTCATTTTAGCCATCGGACAGATGTTAGGTGGTATCTCATTGTAGTTTTGACTTGTATTTTTCCTAATGATGAGTGACATTGAGAATCTTTTCATGTGTCTGTTAGCCATCTATAGGTCTTTTTTGGAAAAATGTCTGTTCATGTCTTTTGACCATTTTTTAACTGGATTATCTGTTAAGTCCATCTGGTCAGTGTTTCATTCAAAACCATTGCTTCCTTGTTGATTTTCTGCCTAATGATTTGTCCATTGATGGAAGGGGAGTATTAAAGTCCCCCACCATTATTGTATTATTATCAATGAATTCCTTTATGTTTGTTATTAATTGTTTTATATATTTGGGTGCTTCCATGTTGTGGGGGAAAACACTTGTCCACAACAATTTAAAAATTATTGTTCAGCTAACACAATATTAGGGAAGACAATGAAGCAGAGTTAACCGATTTTTCAAAGGTTATGAGTGACCTCAGAATAGTCAATGTCAGATTTGGATATCGTACAGTGTCTTTTGGTAGAAAATCATATTTATAAGAGAAATTTCACATTACAGAATGTCATCTTTTTCAATATTAGCTACAAAAATAAGAAACTCTGAGTGTATTCAAAGTGTTCTCCAGCTCTCAACAGCTCTAGGGTTTGGAAATATTATTCTCCCATTTGTACAGATGACAAAATTGAGGGAAAGAGACGTTATTAAATTACCCAAGATGATACAACTAGTGAGAAGCGGAGGTAGAATTTGAACCCAGATATGATTGCCCCAGAGATGATTCTTAAGTGTTTTTTTTTTTTTTTTAGCATTTATTTATTTTTGAGCAATAGGGATAGAGCATGAGCAGGAGAGAGGCAGAGAGAGAGGGAGACACAGAATCCAAAGCAGACTCTAGGCTCTGAGCTGTCAGCACAGAGCCCGACACAGGGCTTGAACCCATGAACTGCGAGATCATGACCCGAGCCAAAGTCGGACGCTTAACCCACTGAGCCATCCAGGTGTTCTGCCCCAGAGATGATTCTTGTTGGGTGCATTATGTTGTCTCAATTTCCATCATATCAGAATCTCAGCTGCCACCTTGGAGGCCACAAGATGACACAAGTCAACACACCAAGTCAACACACAACAGTGAATGTGCGTGGGGGGCAGGAATGGAATATCCATGCCCTGATCTGCTCTTCAAGTTGTGTATGGCAGGAGCCACCCCAAGAAAGGGGCTCCTGGGTAATTCACAATAAGCATTCATGTGGGTGAGCATCGTCCCTGGTCACCCATTCATGTCCTTTTCTGCCTTTTCCAGACACTACCAGGCACAGATCTGCCTCAGCAGGACTCTATTCCCAGAATCTGTACATCTCCAGAAGTAGCAAGAGAAAATGACCACATTCAAGGTGCATATGGCTTCCCTTTCTTCCTGGTAAAATTCCATTTCACTCCTCAAAGTGTTACACATTTGTGTCTTTTCCTCGGTGACTCAAGGAGAGCACCAGGCTAAATGACCTGTTTGTTTTTTGTTTTTTTGTTTTTTTTGGTTTTTGGTTTTTGGTTTTTGTTAGCATTTGTTTTATTTTGCCATTATTCATTTTACTTGAAAACAAGTGTGGACAAATTAGTAGGAATGCTTGCTTCACTGCTGACACATTAACTATTTTTATTTCCCCGTACTCTTTCTTGTGCACATTCATAGATTTATTCGCATTCATGATATACATCTAATGTTGACTTGTGTCTTTTTCATTTAGCATTATATAACAGCCATTATTTATAGTTGCTTCTAGACATTAAGGTGGCTGAGGAGTTTGTTGTAAGGCACACTGCATTGATCATTTTCCTGCCTGCAGGTTTTTCTCCAAAAAATCAATTCTCCGAACACACTGCCTATTTTTTATCCTCAGTGTACTAAGAACTCAGTAACGAAAGAGTACACATGATACATGCCGTGTTAGGATTTTGTAGACAGATATTCAAAGACAGCATAGTGCAACAGGCTCTAACCACTGCTTTATGCAAATATTGTTGGAGATTTTCACACAGGAAGAGCTAGATTCTGTCTTTCCCGTGTCTGAGTCACACTGCATGTCTCTTATTACTTACTGGTGTACTTAAAAAAATTTTTTTGGGTGGGGGGCTCCTGTGTGGCTCTGTCAGTTAAGCATCCGACTTCAGCTCAAGTCATGATCTCATGGTTTGTGAGTTTAAGCCCCGCCTTGGGCTCTGTGCTGACAGCTCAGAGCCTGGAGCCTGCTTCAGAGTTTGTGTCTCCCTCTCTCTCTGCCCCTCCCCTGCTCATGCTCTGTTTCTCTCTCAAAAATAAATAAACATTAAAAAAAAAAGAAGAAACTTAAAAAAAATTTTTTGAAACTTTTTATTATCTTTATTTGTTATTATTTAATTATTTTGAGAGAAGGAGAGGGAGGGGCAGAGAAAGGGGGAGAGAGAGAGAATCCCAAGCAAGTTCTGCACTGTCAGCACAGAGCCCGATGTAGGGCTTGAACCCATGAATGGTTAAGATCATGACCTGAGCCAAAAGCAAGAGTCAGACACTTAACCAACTGAGCCATCCAGGCACCCCTGGTCTACTTTTATTCCTTCACGTATTGATGAATTTTTTCAAAATAACATATAACCTTAGGTTTGTATATGTGTTTTTCAATAATAGATTTTATTTTTTTAGGGCAGTTGAGCATTGACAGTAAAATCCAGCAGAAAGTACAGAGATTGCCCGTGTACCCCCTGCCCCCACACACCCACAATCCCTCCCATTGTCAACATCCCCCACCAGAGTGGTGCACTGTTACAGTCGATGAACCTGTATTGGGACATCATTATCACCCAGTCCCTAGATTACATTAAGATTCACTCTTGATGTTGTTCTTTCTGTCGGTTGGGACTTTATAATGATATGGCCCCACCATTATAGTATCATACAGAGTAGTTTCACTGCTCTAAAAAATCCTGTGTTGGGGCGCCTGGGTGGCGCAGTCGGTTAAGCGACCGACTTCAGCCAGGTCACGATCTCGCGGTCCGTG